GTTGTCCCAATGTAATCACAAGGGTCCTTACAACTAAAAAAGGGAGGAAGGAGAGTCAGAGGAAATGTAACAATGTAAGCGGGGCTCAGAGTAATGTAATTGCTGGCTTTGAAGAAGGAAGAAGGGGCCATGACCCAAGGAATACAGCCAGCCTCTAGAAGCAAGGAAGTGAATTTTTCCCTAGGGCCTCCAAAAGAGGTGCAGTTCTGCTAACACCTTGATTTTAGTTAAGTGAAACCCATTTCAGACTTCTGACGTCCAGAACTATAAGATAATAAATTTATGTTATTTTAACCCACTGAATTTGTAGTAATTTGTTATAGCAGCAATATAAAACTAATACAAGCTGCAATGAAATTAAGAAAACAATTCCATTTACAATACCATCAAGAAGTATAAAACTTAGGAATGAATCTAATAAGTATAAAGCTTACTCTGAAAACTATGAATGTTGTTGAAAGATATTAAGGAAGACCTAAATAAGTGGAAAGACATTCCATTTTCATGGATCAGAAGACTTAAAATTGTTAAAATAGCAACCCCCAAATTGATTTATAGATTCAATGCGATCCTCATCAAAATTCTTTCTGACTCTGCAGAAACTGACAAGCTGATTTTAAAATTCATATGTAAATTCAAGGGATCCAGAATAGCTGGAACAATCCTGAGAAAGAAAAATGAAGTTGGCACTGGCACAAGAATAGACATATTTTTGGAATAAAATTTAGAGTTTAGAAATAAACCCTCACATTTATGGTCAATTGATTTTCAACAAGTGTGCCAAGGCAATTCAATGGAGTCAATAATCTCTTCAACAAATCGGTTATCCGTATGCAAAAGAATGAAGTTGAACCCCTATCTCACACTACATACGAAAGTAATGCCGAATGGATCAAATGCCTAAATGTAAAAGCTAAAACTATAAAACTCTTAGAGGAAAACATAGGATAGGGGTATCTCTTCATGACCTTGGATCAGATAATGGTTTCTGAGATGATGTCAAAAGCACAAGGGACAAAAGAAGAGATACATAAATTGGAGATCAAGAAAATCAAAAACTGTCATGCTTCATAGTGTTACTGGAGTGAATCGGTACTCAGTAGTTGCCAGCCAAAAGACAACTCCTAGATGATTTTATGACAAGGAACAAACTTTATTGTGAGCTAGCAAGTAAGGGCACATCCCAAGTGGCATGTTCCTGAACAAAAGATTGTATTCCTCTTTATTCAGGAAAACCATGCATAAACATCAAGGTGAACTTCATCATCACATGTATAGGTGGGGACATTCCTGTGCATGTGCAGTTAGAAATCATGCCTATACATACATTGCATGTTCAAAAATGGTGGAGAATTTTCGCCCCTAGGAGGAGATTTTAGTATTATAATGAAGGTATAATGAGAAAAGTTCATGAGCCAGTTACTAGAGGGTCTTCCAGACTTAGGCAGTTTCAGCTGGATCAACCCCTTGGTCCTGCAAAATATCCTGGGCTTGTACCTGAAAAACAGTTCTGGCAATCATCCATGTCAGGGATGGCGTAGGCATGGAAGGAAGTTTAATCAAGTCTCAGCCTTCTCGTTAAACTCTTAGCAAAGTATAGGATATGGTTACATAAACCTTATAAAATCTAGGATAATCTAAGAGGGTTTAAAGGTTAATCTAAATGAAGTTATGAATTCTAAATAAAAGTCTATGCTATGCTATCTACTAGGATATATAGTAGATGTATATATATACATCTAATATAGATAGATAGATAGATAGATAGATAGATAGATAGATAGATAGATAGATAGATAGATTAGATAGAGATCCTAACCTGTATATATAGGTTATAAAGGGACACCACCAAAGAAGTTAAGACAATCCACAGAATGGGAAATAATGTTTGGAAATCATAAATCTGATAAAAGACTGTGTCTACAATATATAAAGAATTATTTAACTCAATAATAAAAAGACAACCCGATTAATAAATGGGCAAAGATCTAAATAGATAGTTCTTCAAAGAAGATACACAAATGGCCAATAGGCAAATGAAAAGATGCCTAACCTTATTAGCCATCAAGGAAATGCAAATCAAAATCACAGTGAGAAACCACTTTATATATACACTAAGATGGCTAAAATCAAAAAGAAAAATAACAGCATTATACAGGGTCTGAAGAAATCAAAACCCTCATGCACTGATGATGGGAATGCAAAAATGGTACAGCTACTTTGGAAAGCAGCTCCTCAAAAGATTCAACACAGAGTTGCCATATAACCCAGCAATTCCACTTCTAGGTACATATCCAAAAGAATAAAAAACACATGCCCACAAAAAAAAACTTGTTACAGGAATGTTCATAATAACAGCTTTATTCATAATACTTAAAAGGTAGAAGGAACCTGAAACTGTGACATACCTATGCAATAGAATGCTATTTAGCAATAAAAAGAAATTAAATACTGACACATAATACAACATGGGTGAACCTTATAAAATATTATGCTAAGTGAAAGAAGCCCATCACAAAACATCATATATTGTATAATTCTATTTATATGAAATGACCAGAATAGGCAAATCTATAGAGACAGAAAGTATATTTGTGATTGCCTAGGACTGAGGATGGGAAGGTGGAGAAAGGGGAGTGACTGTTAATGGTGATGACAATATTCTAAAACTGATTGTGAGGATGATCGCACAACTCTGACTATGCTGAAACCATTAAATTGTACCTTTAAAATTATGTGGTATGTAAATTGTAGCTCTATGAACCTGTTACTAAAGAATACACAAGTGTATATGTTATATTATCTTTAACATACGTACATATACATAAACAGTATGTGGTATCATATTTTTAAATTTATGTGTACAATATCACATCTTTGGCATCTTAGTTTTTCACACGAAATTATCTTTCAGATTAATCCATTAATAAACTCCTACTGCATGAATAAAAGCTTTAGTTGTTTGATCCTAAAATAAATACCAAAGGAAAGCTTTTCCTTGATCCTATATACCTTGCCAGAAATATCCCATTTCACTGCTCCCCTTCAGAAACAAACTTCTCAAGAGTTTTTACATATACAATTTCTACTCCCTTACTTGCCCTTTTATTCACACTGCATTGAAACTGCTCTTCAGAGTCACCACCAACCTCCACAGTCCCACAAGATGCACATTTAAAACAATTTTCTAACATCTCTGAATTGGAATGTCTTATGGTTGACGGCGTCTCATCATTCTAAATGTTAGCATTTTTGTCTTAGTTGCACATAAAATAATGGTGATTCTTATAATAGATGGCATCTTATATTCGGTGAAACGTGGTATAGTGGACAGGTTTGTCATTTTACCTGATCTTTCAGTGACATTGGCTCAAACTGACCTCAACCTCCATTTTTTTTTTCTGGCTTCCAGAAACACCCTCTCCTCCTACCCTCTGCCCATTCCTAAGTGTCCTTTGCTGGTTCAGATGGGCACTCAGGGCTCCTTCAGTGATCACTTGTCTGTGACAGCTGTCAATTGATTATAGTTCATGCCTAATCCTTTCCTCAGCAGATCTGTCTGCAAAGTTCACTTTTCTACTTGTATATCTAAAGTTTCTAGCCAACATGTCCGAAATGAAGCTCCTGGTTCTTCCCACTAAATCTCAATCTATTTCTCAAGCTAGAAATCTGGTCTTCATACATAATTTCTTTTCTACCACTCCCATTTCTTATTCATCACTAAATCTTGACTAATCTACCTGCAGAATATATCTAAAATGTCCACTTTCCCCATCACCCAAGTCCAGACCACCACCATCTCTAGGCTATACCACAGGCTTCCACTCAACTCTTCCTATTTTCTCCCTTCAGTACAATTTACAATGACCAGATGGGATCGCCCTAAAAATACATTGGACCACGTTACTTTCTTGCTTACAACCCCTAAGGCTGCCTACTAGTCAGACTCGAGGCCTTATTACGCCTGTGTGCTATTGATAAGAAATGTATATTTTGTTCATCTCTGGTTTCTGGCCAGAACACTCTTGTAATTTCCTAAGAGATAAGAGCCATAGAGGCATCTTTTGTTGTAATATTTGGGTTTTACGATGTTTTCTGAACCAGCTCTGCAAACAGCTCATGAAGTAAAGGCGATGTTTTTTGTTACCCATAATGACTCTCAACTACAGCTGAGTTTATATTAAGGAGGTGACTGTTGGAAAGCCCCTAAAAATGGAGCTCGAATGCCAGGGAAAGCAATCCTGTGATTGATCAGAAGGTTAGAACTTTGAGCCCCAGCCCCTGACCTCTGCGGAGGGAGAGGTGGGAGGTTGAGCTTCACCCCTAATGGCCAATGATTTAATCACCATGTCTACCTAATGAAACCTCCATAAAAAAGCCCCAACTGAAGGGTGTTGGAGAGCTTCCAGGTTGGTGAACAAGAACACATCCATTTCTGGAGAGGGTGGTGCATCCCAAACTCCCTGGGGACAGGTACTATGCTAGGGCGTCTTCCAGACCTCACCCTATGTATCTCTTCATACCAAATAAATCAGTAAGTAAACTGTTTCCCTGGGTTCTGTGAGCCTTTATAGTTAATTATCAAACCTGAGGATGGAGTGGGTGGGAACCTGTAATTTGTAACCAAATCTGATGTTGTGGGTGATTATTTGTGACTTATCTGAAGTGGGGGTAGTCGTGTGGGTCTGAGCCCTTAACTTTTAGTCTGTGCTGACTCCGGGTAGTTACTGTCAGACCTGAGTTAAACTGTAGGGCACCTGGTCTGTGACCCTAGAAAATTGTCTGGTGTGGAATACCCACACGTCACAAGTGTTCTCTAAGTAGAAGAAAAAGCTTTCCTTTCAGCCTGCAAGCCCGGCATGGTATGTTCCACCCAACTCTGCCGTCACTTCTTGTTCCTGCCATGCTTCAGCCACACCTACTCTTTCCTAGTCTTCCTCATGAAGACATCTAGGAAAGCCTGGGTTATATTAAGACAGAATTGAGACCAACAATACCAGTATTTAGATTTTATTTAATTTTATTAAAAACTTAAACCACAGAAACAATGTAAAAACGAGAGAATGGAGAAATGGTTAGGTAGGAGAAAACAGATGAACACAGAAATGGTGAGGGGTCGTCCTAATTACTAGATCAACCCCTCCAACCCTTCCTCCTGCAGGAAACCAAACTGTGTCATTACAGAGCATAGAAGGGTTGTGCTCTCTTCTGCCCACATCATTTCTCTATTTATAGAAAGCTAGAAAAATCTGCAGAGTTTAGAAAAACACTACCAATACCTTAAACGTGTTCTTCAGCCAAAGTAGATGAAGCAGGCAGGACACAGAACTCACTCCAAGAAGGTAATAGTTCGCCTAACACCCTTATATGCTCAGTCACCTAGAACACTGTGGGTATTTTGAATACCTAGGACTCGATCTAGGACAAAGTGGAGGCAAACTTCCTTGAAATGGTGGATTACCAAGCAGTTGAAAAAGAAACACTGGCAAAACATGCCCACTCAAGATGGTGAGAGAAGCAGAAATGGAGCCTAAGAAATAAATTCCACCATTCCCAGCCACAGCCTGAGCCCAAGAGACTGGGGGAAGCCAGAGAGTTCAGCTGCCAGCACTGACCCCCATCACACTGTATCCCCCAGCAGTTTGATTTTGTGTCCCTGAAGCAAAGCGAAGTGAGCACCAGAACTGATTTCCCAGCCAGAATCAAGAGAGCTGCTATGGAGGCTCAGAACTGCTGGAGGATCATCTTCCGCTTCAGGTCATGGCTGAACTTGTTCATCTGAAAGAGCTCACTGTCATAAAAGGCAGAGAGGTTGTGGATGTTGATCTGACGAGCCTAAAAGGAGGAAAGATCAAGTGAGTTGTGGGAATGGGCTCCAGAAAGCCCAAGTCCACACAGTCTTAGGTTCAGTGCACTATCTAAGGCCCATTCACTGCAGGCCAGGCAGGGCTCTCAGTGCCATTATAGGGAAAGTCAACCAGGGCAGAGGCTGGCTGTGTCAGGGTCTGAAGCTGCTATCTCAGCTGTCAACTCCCTTTGATCTCAGCTGAGTTATTTCATTTGCCCTGTGCTGTCTCCTCTGTAGGATGGGATGATAGTAAAAGGACTTATGTTTTTTTGGCTGCTATCAAGATTGTAAGTGCATGGAACAGTACTCAGCACGTTATAAACAATAAATAGCTCTTCATCCAAGGCCCACACACGCACTGACACAGCAAGGACCAAAGATGACTAACAGCTCTCCAGGGAGCCAACACTGCCCTCCCCCCCCACCTCCCATCTGTGCCCATACCTTGTCCACCAAGTCCTTCTCAGGCACTTCAATAATGTCCTGCTGGGCTCCAAAGCGATTACGTTGATACATCACCTGCTCTGCCACTAACTGCTTCAGTATGAAGAGTAATAGCTCATTGTTATCACGACGGAATGAAAGGTAGCGGGCAAAGGTCTGCATGAGAAAAGAGCAAAAGTAACCATTTCTCCCTACTGGGACTCTCAGAGTCACTACAGGATGATCAGATCCACTCCTGCAACACTCTTCACCACAGGTGAGGAAGGCAGATGAGGAAGCTTCTGCAGCCAGGCAGCACGGCAAAGCCTAGCATCTTGGCCAGTGCCTCAGATGCCCAGGTGTGGCTCCTGTGGCCCCGCCTTAGCTCACACCCACCTTCCGCATGCTGCGCATGACGCTGAATTTCTGTGTGTCGATGAAGCTCTCCAGCATCACACGGATGGCCATGTTGACATCATCCTCTATCACGTAGTCCCGTAAGTGGATGCGCGCGTGGGCCTCTGCCATGCGGATCATGGACTCGATGTGCCGCACTGTGATAGGGATGCTGCCTGTTGCCTGGAGAGGAGGACAGCATCAGTTTTCTCAGGCAAGAAAGAAAGGCAAGGAAAAAGGACAATGGCACTGCTAGCAGCCCCAACTCATCTAACCATCCTATGGCAGAAGTGCTCAACAGAGCCACCAGGTGAGTTCACATTTTCCATTCCTTCTTAAAGTATGGTAGTGCCCAGTGGATGCCTATGCTATGGCCTGACACTATTATACCTACACATTCTGCTCCCACCAGTTGACTTATATGCATCCCAGAGTCTGTTATACTGGTGGCCAGCTATCCTTGTTCCTGTCATGTACTAAGTACTATATAATCCAGTAAGTGAGAAACATAGAAAATAAAGCTGTTGTTTCTATGAAAACTAAGTTGAATGCTCTAAGACTTGAAGTTAAAAGGTTAAAAAAAATGGGGAAAGTTGCTGTCTTGCTTAGGTGGGTGAGAGGCCAGTCTACAAGGATTCTGCATTCCAATTGCTTGCAAGCTGCCTTTAAATCCTCACTTCACTGCAAAACTGAAACTAGTTCAGAGCACTGTGTTCATGTAGATGAAATTTACGCGAAGTCAATATGGAACTTAATCAGTGGCCATCAAAAGACCTTGGCCCTATACCCACAGAAACAAACGCAGGCACATTTAAGTGCTGTCTAAAACAAAAGACTTACGATAAGTATGTTGTTTCTTTTTTAAGGCCTTTCTGCTTTATCACTTTTTGTATTAACTGACTTCGTGGATGAGAAAGCTGCCACCTGCCTCTCGCCCTGCCCAGCCCTCCAGGTCCCTGGGCCCATACCATGGATTCTTTCCTCAGATCACTGTACATCTTGGCCACCTTGTCCTGGTCCATCTGGTTGAGCTTTGGGTGGACCTTCTCCTTGGCATAGATGATATACTTCTTCAGGACCTCCTGCGGCAGAGGCTCCACGCCATATGTGTTGGGCATGGTAGGCTCTGGGGCGCCGCCCAGCCCCTCCTCCTCCTTGTTGCTGGGGTGGTGTCTGATGTGGCTGCCAACCACAAAACGGGCCAGCATCTCATCCTAAGACAAGATGGAAGAGGCCAAGTAGGAGAGGAAGTCTTGTGGCTTGGCTTGAGAAGTCAGCTAGCTAGAAGTGCAAGCTGATGTGCTCAAGAAGGATGTTCTCAACACTTATATCCTAAGCCTATTATGTGCCAAGCAGCTCCAGGTGCCAGGGTCGACCGGTAAGCGTGACTGAGCCCTCTCAGAGCTTACCTTCTAGTGAGGGGAGATGCACAGTTTTTAAAATTAACTATTGAAAGTAACACATGCTAAGAAGAGAAATAGGGCAACGGGTGAGGACCTGAGGAGACTCCTCTAGCTAAGGCTGCCGGAGTGCCTCTTGTCATCTGACAATCAAGGAAAACAGTATTCCAGGAATGGAAAAGAACAAGTTCAAAGCCCTGGCATCTTTAAGGTGTGAAGTGAGGGGAGCAAGGAGAAGGCACAAGCACAGAGATGATCTCACAGGGCCAGCAGCCACAGCAAAGATGGTTGACTTTCAGAATTACAGGGAAAGTTGCTAGGAAAGGCATGACCCAACATGCTTTCAAAAGATGGGCTCGGGATGGCTTCTAACTGGCAGTCTAATGGGAGTGAGAGTGGAAGCCAGGAGACAAACCATGAGACACCGCAGTACTTCAGTCAGAGCAAGAAAAGCTGGGTCTCTAGTTGTAGCAGAGAAGCAACAAGAAGCAGGTGGACTCAGGAGTTCGGACCAACAGGACTTGGTGGCAGAGTATAGATGATGTTGACTGTGTGGGTGGGTGGCTGGGAAGAGGGGGCAGTGAAGGAGAGAGATATCAAGGATGATTTCTGAACACGAGAAAGAATGAAAAACACCATGGTGCATGTGATGCCCATTTCTCCATGCCTGGCGCAAGATAGGCTCTAAGTCTCACTCAAGGTCCCCAGAACTTACTGCATGGAACCTAAGACACAGGGTTGTGTACCTGTACTGGGTCCACTGTGTCCCTCACCACACATAAAATGTCAAAGCGGGAAATGATGGGCTCTGTGAGGTCCACGTTTTCTGAGAAGGTCAGTGATGGGTCATAGCGGCCCCCTGTAACACAAAAGCACTCTCCATCAGGGCTCATCCTCCCCCAGATCCTCTTCCTTCTAACTACAAAAAGTTTTCTAATCCCAGTTGTTTTCAGTGACAGAAGGGGAAGGACTCTGGCAAAGGAACTAGAAGAAGATGGACTTTCGGTGCCTGCTGTCAGGTATTCCAGATAAGACATAGAAAAGGGACTTTTCCCCAAGCAACAGCCCGAAACAGCCCTGAGACAGAAGATACCTGTCTCCCAACAGAAACAGCCAACTAGATAGGTGAGGGTACCTGGGATCTCTAAGCACTTGCTGGCTAGGACCGACAACCAACTCCAACCCCACTCAGTCAACACACTAGATTCCTCTTCCCGGTCTTTTGAAAAGAATGGTCACAGGTGGTTCTGAGAATATGGCTCAACAAAAACCCAGGGGTTCTACTTCCCACTCTGGCAGAACACACAGGAAAAGTGCTTTTTGTTGCTTAATTCCTAACTCAGAGTTGTGAGTGGATGAGAGGTGCTGTGGGCTCCTGATTCCTGAAGACAGGGTCTGAGTCTTGTCCACTTTAGCAAGCCCCAAGCCCCACTGGCTATCGTGCCCAGTGTACCTATGGGGTTGGCAGCAGCAATGACAGTACAGCGAGCCTGCAAGGAGGTGACAATGCCAGCCTTTGAGATGGAGATACTCTGCTGCTCCATGGCCTCGTGGATGCTAGTTCTGTCCTGGTCATTCATCTGTAAGAGTCAAATGCTTGATTCTCCCCAATACATCCCAGTAACCCTTGTTCCCCACCAACTGAGGGCTAAGCCAACAAACCCTGAATCACACCACTTGCAAGAGTGGACCCACCTTGTCAAATTCATCGATAAGACATACTCCTCGATCAGCCAGAACCAGGGCCCCAGCTTCTAAGGTCCACTCCCGGCTGACAGGGTGCCGTTGGACATATGCCGTGAGGCCCACAGCTGAAGCTCCCTGGCCAGTGGTGAAGATGGCACGGCTAGACACTTTCTCAATGTATTTGAGGAACTGAGACTTGGCTGTGCCAGGATCTCCACATAAGAGCACGTTGATGTCACCTCGCACCTTGTGCTTGCCCCCTGGAGGAGGTAAGGATGGGAACAGAGGAGTGGGGACAAAAGGGAGGTCAGGGGTATAGGGCTTATCTCCAATTTCTCAGACTATTATGAATGGCAAAGGAATATTCTCTCCAGACAAGGATGCAATACCCTAGGACCAGAAATCCCACTTCTGAGCACTAAACTCAGAAAAATGAGTGTATAAGTGTGTGTAAAGATGTTCTTTGTAAAAGGAAAAAACTGGAAGCAATTTAAATGTTCTCCAACTAGAAGGGTAACGAAACATACTATGCTCTATGGACCATGATACAGTAACTTAAAAAAATGAACTTGCTATGTATGCACTAATACCAAAAGATGACAAGATGTGTTACTGAGAAAAAGTAAGCTAAGTATTTTATGCATAGTCACTTAGGCACACATATAGGAAACTGTAAATAGAAACATACGTGTCTTATGAAACCCTGTGTTTTCTAAGTATGCATATAAATCTATGAATGGCTAACAGTCTGGGAGTACATACAGCACATTGATGAGAGGAGTAACCTACAGGAAGGGGACTAGGATTAGAAAGAATGGTCAACAGTGACTTTGGCCTTTCTGTGACATCTAACAATTTAAAAGAATATAATGTAAATACATGTTCAAGTATTACTTTTATAGTTAAAACTTAACTTAAAAGATAAAAGTTTTTTAAATAAAAGAGAAGCAAAGGTGAATTTGCTAAAATCACAAAGGAAGACAGTAATGGAGCTAGGGACACCCTGATGCTCAAATTGCCAGGTGCACAGGCTATGTTCCCCCTATGATGACTAAGCCGCACAGTCTGGCCTCCTCTTAACACATACTTGCTCCTCTAGCACCAGGGCTTTAAATACAGAGTCCCACCTTGTCTGACACCTAGAACCTGGCTCCTACGAACTCCACAATGGTCCTCAACCTTTTTGGCACCAGGGACTGGTGCTCCTATGAGAATCTAATGCCTGATGATCTGAGGTGGAGCTGAAGTGGTGATGCTAGCACTGGGGAGCAGCTGCAAATCCAGATGAAGCTTTGCTTGCCTGCCACTCACCTCCTGCTGTGTGGCCAAGCTCCTAATAGGCCATAGACCAGTACAGGTCCATGGCCCAAGGGTTGGGGACCCCTGCTACAAGAGGCTGCTCACCTGGGTTTTTGGGCTCTCCTCCAAAAAGAGCCAGTGCCAGGCCTCTCTTGATGTCTTCATGCCCGTAGATGGAAGGAGCAATACTGGCAAAAATCTGAGGGAAGGAGGGAGAGAACCATGAGAACAAGATCTCTGCTCTCAAGTCCTTGCCAACTTGACATGCACAGATCACCCACGTGCTCCATCCGGTCTCAGGGGATTAGGATGTCTCCAGCCCTAAAGTACCCACTCCGCCAGGCCCTGGCATTAAACCCTACCCTCTACCTTGGGGCTTGTCATTAGTTGGCTCTGAGAATCACAGAACTTTAGAGCTTAAAAGAACTTCAGTCTGACTCCTTTATGTTCTCCCAGTTCAGAAAGGACTACCCCAAGGTTGCAGACCAAGAACAGAAAGGAGACAAGACACAGGCTTGGACAGCAGGAAGACCCTTCACAAGAGCTCTGTGGCCTGAGTCTCATTTCCTCAAATGGAAAAAATAATACTACCCAATTCACAGGAGTCTGTGGGCTCTAAATGAGACATTTATATAAGTGCTGGCTCCTGACTGGGTTGTGATGGAGAAATATGATAAATACAGAGAGTGAGGCATAGAAAAAAACCAAGTTCTTTCAATGGATGAGTGAATAAAGATGTGGTACATATATACAATGGAATACTACTCAGCCATGAGAAGATGAAATATTGCCATTTGTGACATAAATGGATCTTGAGAGTATCATATCGCAGAGTGCAGCAGCCCCACAGGACCTCCACCTGCCTTCTCCCCGATCTGCTGGTCCTTTGAGAGGCTGGCAATCATCTTTACATCTTCATCAGTCAGTTCTCCCATGGCAACCTTGTTGTCCTTCTTGGACACATGGTTGGCTAAGATGACCGTGGCAAAGACGGGGAAGCCATTGGCAGTGTTGAGGGAGCCATCGTAGTTGTTGTGGTAGATGCCGGTCAGTTCCTGGGGAATGGGGAGACCATGTGGTCAGAGGGACCAGCCCCAGGGTCAAAGTGGGAGCTGGGCTCACCTCCACACCTGGTTTCATCCAATTATTTCTCTTCCAAGTCCTCCATGCTACAGACAAGAGAAACTCAGCAAAACCAAAGCACAATTAGTCCTCAATCCAGAGTTCCAGCTGGCCAGTCCAGTACAAGGAGCGACTCATCTCAGCTGACTTCTCGGCTGTCATCAACCCCTCCCTGCCCCGCCACAAATGCTCGAACTTCCTTAAGCAACTCAGTTCCCTCCCAGCCTACTCCTGGTCACATACTATCTCATCTCCTGGTTTGCAGCTGTCCACCAGATCAGCGAGGAGAATAGCATCCTTGGAACGGGGCAACCGGCCGGCCGCCACTTTGCCAGGACTCTCCTGAATGCGGATGCGCTGGTAGTTTTGATAGATGGTCTGCAAGGGACAAACAAACAGTCACAGGGCCTGTCCTTGTGTGGCAGACTTCAAGCACTGAATTATGTTGCCTGACCTTGACTGTGGCCCCGTGACAGAGAGAGCAAGTAGTGTTGTTATTCCCATCTAATGACTAGGAAACAGAGAGCCGAAGATGACAGGGAGTGAGCCCACTGTGACCAGCATATCAGTGGACAGTCCCCACTCCTACCACCACTCCTGCCACCACCCCTCTGGATACCTCCTTACTGCTGGACAGTCAAGCATCTGTTAACATGCCGCAAAGCTGAGCCCTTATGTGTATAAATGCTGAGGCCAGGCTGCCTAGTTTCAGATCCTGCTCTGTGGCTTACACTGTGTGATCTTAGGCAAGCAAATCTCTCTGCGCCTTCTCTGCAATACTAATTCTCTGGAATGCTAATACTGCCAACAGCAACATTCCAGTGAGGCTTAAATCAAGTAATACATACAAAACACTTAAATCGATGCTTGAGAAATGGCAAATTATATTAGTTTGGGCTGACTGTCAAGTATCATATGCCACCACTGTGCCATGCAATTTAATGTCTTATTTATCTAGAAAAGAGACCACATAATATAGCAGTTAAAAGCATATACTCTGGGTCAAAATGCCTGACTTCTAATTCTGAGTCACTTCCTGGCTGGGTAAACCCAGCCAGTTTCTTCACTGGTAAAACAGTACCTGCCATATAGAGTATGATGAAACTAAATGTTTCACCTGGCACCTGGCAAGTACTCCAGAAATGTCAGCTATAATTATTAATCCTCTACTAATTACTGTCTCAAGTTCCCTAGAAGCAGAGCCCCAAACTCTGCTCTGGTGCAAGAGACATTTGTGAAAGTGGAATCTGTAAAGGAGGGAAGCTAGACAGGGCAAGGAAACCTGGGCAGAGGCATGGGCTCAGCTGAAGTCCAGTTTTGCAGGTGACTCTCACCAGGCAAGGCACACTTAAACTTTTAAGCAGGTTTTTAGCAGTGGGATCATAAGCACAACCTCCCAGGCTTTTTCTGGCAAGGTGGCTCTGGATAGGGCACTCCTCAGAAGCATAGAGCAGTAGAGGTCAGCAGCTAATACTCAGGGCCACTAGGCACAAAGGATGTCTAGGCATGCACTGCAAGTACCATGATGACCTCAACTTTACAGATGAAGTTGTTCCAGTACAAAGGCATATGTTACCTGCCTGGGGTCTTAAGGCCCAGAGGCTTTTGGCAGTGTCTCTTGAATAGGGCACAATAGTGTCTACGTGGTTACGATCCTGGGGCTCCCAACCAAAGGTCCAGAGAGGCAGGTACCAGATATGTCAAGAGGAAGTCTCGATGGGACTGCAGGTGCCCCATGGAATAAGGGACTAGAAAGCAGTTGCCCTACTAAGGGTGCAGTTTAACCAGATCTTATTTTTCAAGAGAAGCCAAAAACTTGGATGTTTTAAACAAATCATCTTATTTTTAAATACTGACTCGAATTTTTAAAAATACCACTGGGCCAAACTGAACATGTTGGCCGACAGATCTGGTTTGCCCCCGGGTGTGGCCAATATACGATACCTTCTTGCTTCCCTCGGCTGCCCATGCTGATTTCCAAACTGCCTAAGAGATCAGGCAGGCCCTGAGTACTGGAGACCCCTGAGATATGAATGACAGCCAGCAGCCAGTGCTGTGTGCTTGCTCACCTCTTCCATGTTGACTTCAAAAGGGCCAGCTGACTGGCACTCAGGGCAGGAGCCGGGCTTCACTTCTTGGTTCTGGGACTGACAGAAGGGCCCTAGTACAAAGCTGCACTTGTTACAATTGTACTTGACCATGCTGAGCTGGGGCAGAACGCCTGTGCAGCTGGTCACCACTCCGCTGGTACGAATCAGCTGGTTCAGGTGCAGCTGCCTGTGGAAATGAGAGGGCACATCAGAGGTCTGGAGCCCCAATGCTTGACCCACACCCTCCAGAGAGGAGTTCCATGTGAAGGCATTCCAACATAAGATCCCAAAAATTCGGGGCCCAGTGCCACCAGATCCATTGCACCCCACCCCTGTGCAAGCCAGAACTCACAAGTGAGGGCTCTCCTTAGCTACAGCCATCTACCCACACCACCCTCTTGAATGGTGCCTGAACTACAGTACAGAGGACCAGACCTCGGCCCCCGCCCTGCCCTCAGCTCACCTCAGTGAGCGCAGCTCCTCTACCAGAGGCAGGTGGGAGATGCGCACATGGATGCGGCTGGCAATGCGGTCGTACTTGGGGTACATGGCCAGCACGACCTCCAGGGCAGCCTCGTCAAAGATCTGTAGCAGCTCTGCTGGTGCCTCTGGCAGGAAGTATGCCAGGACATGCTCCCTGGCTGCCAGGTCCTCATAGTTCACCACCAGGCTCTCTCGGTTCTCTAGAGGCGGTAACAGAGACTGAGCGCTGAGTCGGAGAAGGCAATTCCCATCTCACTGTGCGAGGAGGGAGCCTGCTCACCCAGATCCTTGACTTCAAGCAGGAAAGCTTAGCTCTCATTTCTAAGGCCACCTTGCTTTAGCTATGTGACTTAGATTTAGAGACATATCCTGAGCCTCAACTTCCCAATCTACAAAATGGAAATGTCACACAGAGTACGAAGTCGCTAGGGAGATTAAGTAAAATAATACATGGAGAGTACCTAGTATAGCAGGGTTGCAACTAGAAATGCCTGCAAGAGCCAGGAAAGAAACCTATGAATAAACTGTGTCAAATTTAAGACAAATAGAGTGGAGGGGACAACAGGAAACCAAGATTTGCATGCCTCCTTTTAAAATTAATTCCTGTCACGAGAAATATGCCGTTGCTTTCTGATCAAAATAGTAATCAGATCTTTAGGTAAAATCTGCCAAATTTTAAGCATGTTAGAAAACACTCCATGGACAGTTGGCTGGAGCATCCTAGTATAGACTCACAATACTTTTTGTATTTTTCTGAAAGATGGACATCATGGGTGCCAGGTGCTAGCTCCTGTCAAGCAACAGGCAAGTAATTTAATGTTCCTTGTACTTCATGTCTCTATTAAATGTGCCCTTACAGGGCCAAAGCAATAACTTTCTGCAGGAAGAGTTTTGTAAGGTGAACTATAGTAAACAGAGGCTGGGAGTACAGAAGCCTCACCTTTACACATGTCACTGATGCGCTCCTTGAAGACGTTGTGGCCATGGCCGTCCACGTGGGTGCGCAAGAAGTTCTTAAAGCGGTGGTGTATCTCCAGCCGGGGCCCTGCCATGCTCACCCACTCGCGCACGGAGTGGCCCTTCAGGTCCTCCAGATTCTCAATACTCTCGATCATTTCCTCATCTTCCTCACCGTCCTCTGTGGCCCGCTCTACCTGGCGGCGCTTCCGAGCAGGGCGCTCTTCATCCTCCTCATCGCTGTCTGAGGGCGAAAGGAATGTCTTCGAGTTAAGTCTTCCTGAGCACTCCTTCCCAGTTCCCCTAGGCACTGTAAGCAGGACCAGCCCTCGGGGGTGCAGACATCTCAACATACCATACAGAAGCCCACGGCGCATGCGGCCCAGGCCCCGGCCAGCCTCACGGTCACGCTGCCGCATGGCCCGCTCCGCTGCATCTCTCTGACTGGCTGTCAGCTCCTCTACATCCTCATCATCCAGAGCCAGTCCATCAGCCTCGTAGGTGTCGAGCTCTGGGATGGCTCGGTAGTCCCTGAGAGACCCCCAAATGTTAGCATTAAAAAACAAAAACAAAATGACCCAAACACAACCCAGGAACTTGGCCTGGTTCAGAAGGCTTAGGAGCCCTGGCCTGGGCAAGCCTGAAGAGTCACCAGGCCAAAAAGAGAGAAGGCTCAAAAGGATCTCCAATGGATAAACCAGGTGTGGTCTACCCATACAATGGACTAGTATTGTCTCGAAAAAGAAGCAAAGTCTGATGCATGCTACAACATGGATGAACTTTGAGGACACTGTGCTCAGTGAAGTAGGCAAGTCATACAAAGATATATAATGTATAATTCAGTTAGGCAAGATAAAAAAAATTCTGGAGATGGTGGTGATGGTCGCACAATCTGAGTGTACTTAATATCACTGAACTGGACACTTAAAGATAGTTAAGATGGGAAATTTTATGTATATGTATTTTTCTCCAATAAAAAGAAGGGGGGAAGGGCTCACCATTCAGCTTTAAGCACCCAATAAGGATTGGAGGAACCACAAAACCTTCACAGAGAAAGGCCTTTCAGAGAGCAAACCCCAGGTCCCCCATGGGGTAGAAATTCTCTCTCTCTCTGACAATGCCAAACCCTTTCAAGTCCTGAGGTCTTTTATTCACATCAGCCAAATCAGCCTCTCTGAAATGCCCACCCACTAGCTCAAGCCTCTCAGCTCCTCTAAGACTCCCCCGCCCCAGGGACTCATTTTCCACAGTGTCATCTATCAGTGATTTAAAGGGGAAGTGCCTTAATAAGGAACTCCTGAGAGCAAAGCCCTGCTCTCTCTTCTCTGCAATTCCTGGAGGTGGACACCACTGCTCCATCTAAAAGATGAGGAAAATTAGCATTAGGGGATGATATGTCTTTTGCCAATGGTCACTCAGTAGAGCTAGGTGTCAAAATACAGCCTAACCACAAATCTCAAGCTTGTTCCCTGATACCACACTACCTCCCCAAGATAATCCTCTTAGAATTTTCTTTTTTTCAGGTAAGTGGTGATCAGGGAACTACTACCATTTGGGTTTTTTTGTTTGTTTGTTTTTTGCAGTAAACTGTCAAACTACATTCTCAGAACAAGTAATCCCATTGTGCTGATGCCAGAAACAGTACCCAGAGCCAGGTAAATTCCTGGACTGATCCATTTCTGAATTCTTAAATTCTCAGGGAAAAGGTATCTGACTCCTCAAAAAAATTTTAAGACACATGAAATGTCCTCAGTGAAATTCTAATTGGTCCATTAAAAAATTGGTAAATTGGACTTCATCGAAATTAAAAACTTTTCTGCCTCAAAATATACTATTTATAAAATGAAAAAGATGAGCTGTAGATTGAGAAAACATTTGCAAATCACGTATCAGATGAAGAACTTGTATCCAGAATAAATTTTAAAAGACTCTTACAACTCAATAATAAACAAGTAAATGACCCAAACAGACATTTTCCCAAAGATATGTAAATGTCCAACAAGCATGTTAAAAGGTGCTCTACATCATTAATCATCAGAAAAAGGTAAATTAAAACCCTAAGAGATACCACCTCACATCCATTAGGATGGCTATTATCAAAAACCAGAAAATAACAGGTGTTGGCAAGAATGTGGAGAAATGGGAACCTTCATATACCACTTGTGGGAATGTAAAATAGTACAGCGGCTTTGGAAAACAGTCTAGCAGTTCTTCAAAAGAGTAATCATAGCTATAACCCAGCAATTTCATCCCTTGATAGTTGCTGAAGAGAATTAAAAACACATGTTCACATCAAAACTTCATAGCAATATTATTCATAAGCGCACAAAAGTGCAAAGGACCCAATGTATATCAACTGATTATGAATAAAATGTAGTCTAGCCATACAATGGAACATTATTCAGCAACAAAAAGGAATGAAGTACTGACACATGCTAAAACACAGATGGACCTTGAAAACCACACTAATGCAAAAAAGCCTGTCATAAAAGGTCATCATGTATTATGATTCCATTTGTGTGAAATGGTCAGAACTGGCAAATCTGAAGAGACAGAAAGTTAGATTAATGGCTGCTTAGGAGTAGGATAGGAACCAGGACTAACTGTAAACAGGCACAAGGGGTTTTACTGGGATGAACGTTCCCAACAAGGAAATGTTCTAAAACTAAAGTGTAGTGATGGTTGCCAAACTCAGAAGATTAACTAAAAAGCAATGAATTGTATTCTTACGAAGAGTGAATTTTATAATATATAAATTATAGATCAGCAAACATGTTTCTTAAAAATCCACAAAAACAAAGTCTAACTGGGCCCAGCTACCAGAGGTAGCCTCAGATAACTATCCAGAGGTCCCTGCACAGGGCCTCTCCTCTCATTCTCTGAAAGGAAGAAGCAAGGAGATGGAAACAGGGAGTAGAGGATAAGAATAATTCCACACTGCACAAGGACCCATCTAGGGCTGATTTGTCCCAAGACTCCTTATTCCCTCTACAGTCTGGCATGTACTGCACACCCAGTATGATCGTCCAGGGTGACAGTGCTTAAAGCAAAGATCCAAATGGTCCAGAGTGCCCTTGACAGTTCATGAGATGACTCACAAAGGGCACTCCCTGTGGAGTGTGAGATGGCCTGTACAGTCCTGTTTACACACACCAAGTTTGGAACCCAAAGTCCCAGAAAAGAAAGGCCCAAAGGAGACTCTTCATGAGGCTCCTAGGCATTCACACAATTCTACTGATGCATCTACCAAATCCTGGTTGTAAATATGGGGTAAGGCTGCAGTAGAAATCTAACTTTGCTTCCTTGCAGAGCTTACTCTACTGTCTTAGCGTTAAGCCTCAATAACTTTTAATACATGTTTATAAGTTTACTAATAAGTGTGAAAATATCTAATAGAAGGCCTGGTACAGATTAGGCACAATAACTATTTGCTGAATTGAATCTAAATCGCGGTTAATCAGCCATGTCCATTGTTTTTTTGAAGCTGCAGAAAAACTCGGCTGCCTGCTTCCCGTCCCCCTTAGTTGGCAGCCCTGATGTGACCCACCAGGTTAGAGACCCCTTGCATCCCCTAGGGTGCACATCTTATGGAGTTGGGGCTTATCCAGGCCTTAGGGTATAGTCTTAGATATAGCAAGTTACATGGACCTCCACTGTGGCCCCATGAACCTGTCTATCTCCCCGCATACCTGAACCAAGATTCTCTCAAAGTCACGATGCTCTGATTTGCCTGCTTCCCAGAACCCAAAGCAAGGTTGCTGACACACAATGGGCTCTTTGCAAAACTATCTGCCGAGTTCAGGGCCCTGAATGAAAGTACCTCTCCATGCCATCTCCGATAAGTTCCTCTCCATCCTCTTCCTCCAGGGGCCCCTCTGTGCCTAGCAGCCCCTCAGATTCATCCTCAAAGGGAGGAAGGTCACGGCCAGGGCTAGAGGTCAGGGCATCTGTGCGCCGAGAGCTTCGTCCAGGGCTGGAGGTGAGAGGATCATTGCTTCGCCGACGCCGGGCTGGGCTGGAGGCCATGGTGAAAGACTCAGATGATTCCTGCAAGGGAAGATCAAGAAAGTGAGGGCTGACTTAGTTTCCTATAAGGTGGTCTTCCCTACCAGTTACCCTCTCTGCCCTCCACCACACCAATCCCCTTGCAGCCTCAAGACTTTGCACTTGCTGTTCCCCCTACATGGAATGCTCTCTGAGCTGAGCCAGGGGTTTCTCAACACACGTGAACCAGCTCAAATATCACTCCTCGAATATCTGGTCATTCACAATACCCTGTTTTCTCCATGACAAATAACTAGGATATCTCATTTGTTTATGTATCTGTTTATAGTCTATTCCTCTCGGTAGCATGCATTCCCACCCATGTGAGCACCCATACTGTGCCAGACACCTCTATACAAGGGCAACCAAAACATAAATGATCTGATGCTTACAGGCTGGTGGAGGGGTCAGACAGTAAACGAGACAAAAAGACTAAAGAAAAAAAAAATTACAATAAGGACTGCACAAAGATGCAGGACCCTGTCTTGTGTACACCCAGCGCCAAGCACAGAGAGGGCGTCCGACAAGCTTGTGAAGAGTGAATAAATGACGGTGGCCAGGCGGGCTGGGTTCGCTTCGGGAGTCTAACTTCAGGCTGGGGTGTGGGAGGCGGCATTATCAGGACTTGATTGGTGTGGGGCCCTCTGGCTTTGCAGACCCCGAGAGAAATCAGTTCCCAGCCAAAGCCCAGGGGCCCAACTCCAACTTGGAAGAACGATCTCGGGCAGGCGCAGGAGAGCAGACAAGAGAGAGGACGAGAGGCGCGTAGCATCCCCCTACCCCGCGCTGCCCTTGCTGCTGGGGCACGCGCCCCGCACCGACCACGCCCCAGGCCGTGAAGATGTGCGGGCCGCGAGGACCAACAGCGCGCCCAGCAAGCGCACACTCACCGCCATTTCAGCGCCGCGCTCCACTCGACTACCACAACCAGTTTTCGCGCGAAAAGTGGCTCACGTGACCTGCCCGAGCCGGGGAAGCGTCTGACGGAACATGGCGTCATGACGTCAGCACCTACTTGCGTCACTCTGGCGCGCGGGGGGCGGACGCGTCCAGGATGGCTGAAGACCCCGCCCACAACGCCCGGAATGGCCCTGCTCAGGAGGTTGGAGGCCCTGGCCCCTGGCCGCGAAGGCGTACGCGGCCGCGTACGCAGCGCTGTCCGTCACCAGAGGTTTGGGAGCTGAAGCTGCTGGTGCGGGTACTTAAGACCAGCTCCACCTGCTGACTGCCTGACCTTGGTCACGGTTTGGCCGCTTTATAGATGAGGCAACTGAGCTTCAGAGCCTTGTTTTCTGAGATCTTTTCTGAGTGGATAGTCAGTTTCAGCTTCTCCAAAAGCTCTCAGGCTGATTACTTCAAGCACAGAAACACTCCAGGATTGTAGGAAGCCGCTTCTGATGTTATAGTAGGAGTTAGCCTCACCAAGGGGAGCAAAATGCAGGGATGTTCTAGATGGGAAGAACGACGTTTATAAAGATGTAGTGAGCATGGCACAGTGATGATCTGCAAGCAATGCCACAGTTCCGGTTACACAGCTTGCGATGCCCAGGAAGGGACAAGACTTGAGGTTGCAGAGCCCAGGTCACAAAAGTTCTCCAAGTCTTTCTAGGGAGTTGGAGCTTTATTCTGAGGGCGATGGAGAGCCACAGAAGGATTTTGAGCAAGTGAGAGGATAACCAATGTGAGTTTTAGGAGAATCCCTTAGGCTGTCCCTCGGAGGTGGATTGAACCAGGTTGGAGGTGTTGTTGCGGTTTTTCCTCCAGTTACATGTGGCTCCAGCTAAGGCAGGTCCCTTGGTGAGCCAGGGGGTGGGGAGAGCTGGATCACAATCCTCTTGATATTTTTGTGCAGTGAATAAGCATCTCTGAGTGGGACCCAGGACATAGGGCAGGAGGGATGATGAGGGCTTAAAATATCCAGGAGAAATTTAGGAGATGGATAACAAAAGGGAGGCATCCAGGATAATACCAGGATTCTGCTTAGGAGACGAGGTGGATGATGGCATCACTTCTGAGATGCAGAATGCAGGAGGAAAAGACGAATTTGTTTCTGGCTGTGTTGGACATGGGCCTCGAGTAGAGATATCCAGAGGCCATTTGATATTATGATCTGGGGCTCAAGAGGGAGTTTGGGTTATAGCCTTAACAGTGGTTGTATAACCAGATAGTGCAGTGAGGAGAGAAGGCCCAGGCCTGGGACCCGGGAAACTTTTACAGTTAAGAGGCACCAAGGATGCTGGACAGGAGTTGTGATATTGGGAGCCACTAAAGGAGAAGCCAGAGAAGAGATGGTGGGTGGGATTATATTATCTATTTCAGCTTATAGATGGCCTTAGCAGTGGTTGTATAACCAGATAGTGCAGTGAGGAGAGAAGGCCCAGGCCTGGGACCCGGGAAACTTTTACAGTTAAGAGGCACCAAGGATGCTGGACAGGAGTTGTGATATTGGGAGCCACTAAAGGAGAAGCCAGAGAAGAGATGGTGGGTGGGATTATATTATCTATTTCAGCTTATAGATGGCCTTAGCAGTGGTTGTATAACCAGATAGTGCAGTGAGGAGAGAAGGCCCAGGCCTGGGACCCGGGAAACTTTTACAGTTAAGAGGCACCAAGGATGCTGGACAGGAGTTGTGATATTGGGAGCCACTAAAGGAGAAGCCAGAGAAGAGATGGTGGGTGGGATTATATTATCTATTTCAGCGTAACAAATTACCTGGAAATCTAGCAGGTAAAAACAATTACCATGTATTATCTCAGTAGCTGTGGGTCTGGATGTGGGCTCAGCTTAGCTGGATCCTCTGCCTCAAGGGCTCTCACAGCCTGCACTGGTGGTGCTGGCCAGAGCCCTGGTCTAATCTGAAGGCTCAGCTCAGGCAGGCCCTGCTTTCAAGCTCCCTCATGTGGCAAGATTAAGTTCCTCCTAGAATATAGGATGAGAACTTGGGTTTCATACTGGCTCTTGGGTGGGGGCCTCCTCAGTTTGCCATGTGAGCCTCTCTATAGGGCATCTCACAAATTGGCAGCTGGCTTTGTTCAGAGCAAGTGAACAAGAGGGTGAGAGAGGCCATACACAACAGAGGCCATGTCCTGGAGGTGATATTCCATCACTTTTGCCATATCCAGTTTGTTAGAAGTAAGTCACTAGGTTCAGCCCACTGTCAAGGAGAGGAGATCACTGGAGGCTACTTGGAGGCTGCCAGCCAGGGGAGACAAGGTGGTAGATGGGAACAGCAGGTGACAAGCTGCCAAGAGGTCAAGTTTGGCAAGGACCAGGAGCCAATGAGTGGCCCTGGTAAGAGCCAGTTCATGCCATAATCAGTGTCAGACACCACATTGAAAGTGTGTTGAGGAGTGGGGTGCCGGGAGGTAAGAAGGGTGAATTTGGACAATTATTTGGAGAAGTTGGGCTGTGGGACATGGGCAGTACAAAACTGGAGTGGGATGTGGGGCTTTTTTTTGAGATGAGAGACACTTGGGCATGTTTAAATGCTAATAGGAGGAGGGAGAAGAAATGGCAAGGTGGAAAAGGGTGGGGGCAGCCTCTATTATGGCCTGCAATGATCCCTACTTCTGGTATTCGCACCTTTATGTGATCTGCCACATTATACCAGAGTTGGGCTGCATGACCAGCAGCATGTGACAAATGATTAGACGTCCTTCAGAGACTAAATTATAAAAAGCTCTGTTGCTTTGCTTTCCTCTCTCCTTCTTCATCAGATAACTCACTCTAAGGGAAGCTGGCTGCCATGTCCTGAGGACACACAGGCAGCCCTGTGGCCAGCCTACAGAGTGAGGAACCAAGGACTCCAGCCAATAGCCATGTTGGACTCACTCTGGATGCACATCACCTTGGGGTTTTATTTTTCTCACATCAGTGGGCATCTAACACTAACACGATCAAGGACAAGTCTCCTTCTCAACTTCTGGTTTCACTATCTTCAGCCTGTGGCTTTCATCCTCAAGGTCTCAGAATGGCTCTCCCTTCCCTCCCTCTCCCCGCCCCCAAGGCATTGTATCTGATAAATGATGCAGCTCATTTCTGATAAAGCTTAGCCTTTTCCCTTATTTGTCAGCTGGTCATGAGAGACTCCCCAGTCAGCTGTAGGTGTGAACAAGGGACAGGCACTGGTGCAACAGTGATAGATGATGTAGATCTACAATGGATCACTTAACAGTCTTAACTGGATGGCTGCTGAGCCCACCTGAGCTTATGACTTCATGGGCCTGATGATAGAACTCAGTTTATCAGGAGCAGCTCTTCCCTCACAGTCACTTGAGTCCCCTAGTCATCTCTACCAGGGTCCAGTATAGCCTGGTAGAGTTGTATTTTGAATTTGTATATAGTTTTCTGCTGTAGATGTCTTGGCCTTGCTCTAGAACCTTAGGGGTCTACACTGTGGTTTCCCCATATGAAAGAAAAACAGCAAAATGGAGTTGGTATTGTAGAAAGCAACCTAAAATGGAGCCAGGAGTCCTCCATGAAGGTGAGCTAATATACCCCATCCATTTGAAACTGAACTGTTGAACTGGGCTAAACCAAATGGCTACATCCTGATATAGTTCCTAGAAGAGGCTCTACATCATTGAACTCTATTAAAAAATAATATTTTCACCTAGCAATGGACAGAAGCAATTAATTATGTATAGCATAGTGTAAGTCTCCTTGCCAGCACCAAGTCACACACAGCTTTTTCAAAGCAGCTTGTGTAATCTCTTTAGAAGCCCCCCTTGTTTGTCTTTATAAACTGTCTCTTTCTTTCCCCTTCAGAACACAGTTGGGTTTCTACCCAAATCTGTGTCTCCAGGATTTGCAAGTCTACAAAACAAAAAAAAGGACCCCCAAATAAAGCTTTTGTAGTTCCAATTCCAGTCAAAACTGATTGATATTACATGGTCTCAGAAGTAGGATCCAGAGTGACTTGCTTCCTCCTCTGACGCCTCTGTGGATTCAAGTAAGGTACTTACAAGAGTCCATTACACTATCCTGGTCCTGGATCCTTGTGGTAAGTCCTCCTAGACCTGAACCTCCTGCCTCGGTTGACTTTCAGGCTCTATCTGGATGTCTTCGGTTCCTAGCTTTCTGTCTGAGGGACTTACGGCACCCATTTGGTAATTACTTTTGAAAAATGGGAAGATGCTTTCTGAGAGGCTGGTGCACAGCCACTTTCTGGAACTCCTACTTGATTTATGTACAAAACATTACAGGCCCCCGTCTTGTAAATTTCTAACTCTCTGGATCATAATCACCCAGGAGGATTTACAATTAAACTGGCCACATTGGGGCTCTTTTGAAATCCCCAAGTTAATCTATCTGTGCAGTCAGTTGGAATAAGACTACAAAACTAAGCAAACTGAAATGGAATGCATATTTTAATTTGTGTTTTGAGGCCTCCACACATATAAGTAATTCAAAGGTTGCTTCCCTCCAAGACAAATTCTAACTTAACCAAAGCAAATTCCAAGTTGCCTCAGAAACTCACTAAACTTGAGGAAACTTCTAAATGTTCATCTGACATCTCTTTATCTGCACCTTGCATTCCTTTGCTGCCTGCCTGTTTCCCCCCTCTTTACTCTTTACTTACTAAACTCCTTTTTTATAACAATGAACTTGAGGCTCCCTTAGACTACCCTGCTCTTACCACCCCATTTAATGTTAAACTGTCAGATGGGCCTAGGCCAAGATGACAACCCCTTTTTTTTCTTATACCCCAGTGACTAAAGCTGAGCTCAAGAATTCCCTAATCTAATTCCAAAGAGGACCTCCATTGGGTTTGCTAGAGATTTCTGCTCACTTTCCAAACATGACCCAAGGCTCTCTGACCTCTATCAGTGCATAGGAGAAGGTCATGCCAGAGAACAGCCAAACAAGGTGGGAGACTTGACCCTCGAGAATGAGAAGCCATGAACAAAGCCTCAAAGCTGGCTAAAGGGCTTCATGAAAAGACACCTGAGGCTTTCCCTTGAGCTATTTTTTGGAAGAAAATTCAAAAACATGTTCGAAA